TCATTAAATCATTCATGATCTTGATTTACTTTAATATGCAATGTAGATAGACTTCCTTTATGTTTTTTTTGATATTTTGAAGATTTTTCTCATTTTTTATTCTCTTGATCGAGTTTTTGAATTAAATTACAAAGCTATTAAAATAAACAAAATATTATTACTTAAATAAAATTTTATTTAAATTTTAAATCTACTTTTTAAGTTTGTTATAAAATTTAAATAATATAAATATATTATTACTACTTAGTCTTTGATTTCGCCAAGAAATCTTAATAATATAAAATATATTATTATTATCTTCTTCACCACTAATTTCTGGACTTGCATATTCTGGTTTAATTACTTTTTCAATATCAGATAAAGATTCACCTAACTCATCATAACTCATAAATGATGCACATTCACATCTCTTTTTTGCTTTCTAAAAAACATTTATAATTAATATTAATTATATTATCTATAGCAAATAAAATTATTGTATAAATAGTACCTGATTTTTTTGTCTTTTTCTTCTATTAAATACTTTAATACTTTCGATTTTTTCTTCTGAAGCTATATGCTATTTATGAAGATATTCAACATATCTGATAATTATATCTCTTATAGCATCTTCATTCTATAATTCTCTATTTTCTATTTATTAAAAAAGTATTATTAAATATATTTTAAAATAGATATTTACTAATAAATATTTACGTAAATCTTTATTTCTTTTACTATAATCTTCCAAATAAAACATTATATAGTTATTTAATACTTCTCGATTAAAACAGTTATCTGGTGGCTTTTTTAAATTAAACTTGAAAGCAATATCATCAGTATTTTCAGAATTAAGATAACTTGTAATCTTGTGATGAATCAAACTCTATAAAGTAGGATATGAAGTAGAATAATGAGTTGAATTTTTAATTGATTTGTTTTTTTGATTAGTAAGATTAGAAAGAGACACTTGAGTGTTTTCAATTCTAATATCATCAAGAATAGCTAATATATTTCTTTGTTCATTTGTAGATTCTATAACTTTATCTTTTATTTCCGAAATTTTTGTATTTAAATCAGAAAAAATATTTTGAAATATTATATTTAGACTATTATACATATCCTGAAATTTCACAGTTTGAATAGAAAAAGTTTCTTGATGTTGTTCGAATTTTTCTTTAATATAATCTAATTTAAAATTAGTTTTATTTAAGTTTTCGAATAGACTATCTAATGTTTTAGCAATTCCTTTTGTAGATGAAGGTGTTGAAGTTCTTAAACTGGAAATTGTTTTGTCAATATTATCTATTTGCGACTATTTAAAAAGGTTATAAATAAAAAGAGAGAATAATGTTACAAATACGTAAAAAATTAGTTGTTTAATTGTATTTATATTAAACCAATTTATATCATGTAATCACAACAAAAACAATTTGCTAACCTTAAATATAAAATTTTTTATTAAAAAATAAATTTAGCTTAGATATCGAATTGCCAAATTTCCTTATTTAGTAATAGTTAAATTATACTCTGATCATGTGATATGCTTGAATATATAATAGTAATAGTTAATTATATTCTGATCATGTGTTTAAATATATATTAGTAATGTAATTTGTTTATACAATATATATAAATTAAAATTAAATCTGTTTATATGAATTTTTATTATTGGATAATAAAAATATTTAATTATATATTAAATATGAAATTTGATTAGCCAATTTATCTAATCAAGTTTATATAATTACAAAATAATAAAAATTATAAATGATTAAAAAAATATATAATATATATACTGTTAACTATTGATATAATAAATGTTCTTATACCAGATTTATTAGTTTAATGAAACGAATTTAATTATTAAAATTTTAATAAACAATTTAATATAATTATAATAGATTTAATAGTAAAAAGGCCATATTATATATAACAAATACCTTTATCAGTTTATATACTAATTGAATTTTAAAATTTTAATCTTTATAATAAAATTTTTAAGCAGCTCAAATTTCTGTTATATCAATAATTAATAATATTTATATAATTTGTAATTAATATATATTTATAATATATATTACAAAAAATTTAGCAAAAGTTTAGCAAAGAATTATACATTTATTTTATTACAAGTTTGAATTAATTTGATGAATAAATTCAGCCCATTCATCTTTTTTAAAATTTTCCAACCAAGCTATAGTTGTATTATCAACTAAATCTAAAATTACTCAATTGTTATTTAGAGTTCCAAGAAGCTGTCTCAAGTGAGGTCTAGCTGTTATAAACTTTTTAAGTTTACGTGCTAAAACTTTTCTACAAAAACCTGGAATATTAATTGTGATTTCATCCAATACAATTAATTTATTTTTATTTTGTTTAATTGGTTGGTGAATTAAAAAAGTTCTAGAACTAGTACATTTAATGTTTAACAATTGATATATTGTAATTTGTCTAGCTAAAAGTAAATTAACTTGAGAGGATGACTTTATTTCTTTAGAACGAGTTGTATATTTTGACATCCAATCTTTCATGTAACAATATACAAGTTCAAATTCAAATAAAAACCATAAAGATTGTCTTCGGAAAAGTTCTGAGTTGTAAGAACTAATATCTACTTTAATAAGTGACTTATAACAAGTACTTAAAAGAGAAGAAAAAATTGAGATTTTTTGATCACTTGAATCAACTGATAAAAATGAATCAATTGGAATATCTTCTGATAATTCAGGACTTTTTCGTAATAAAGTTATTTGATCTTGAAAATCACTATTGTTAAATTCTGGTAAAATTGATGTAGCAGGTTCTTGGCCTTCTTTATATAAATCTAAACTAAGAGCTCCATTAATCAATGAAGAATCAAACTCCATTACTTTATATCCTGAATTTTGAGAGGATATTATAGTTTTCAAATGTTTAATTATATTTTTATGATATTGAGACTTCTGAATTTCTGAATTATTATCAAAAAAAGGTGCTACAACAGGAAGACCTTGTTCTAACAAAAGAAATTCTTTATACAATTTCACAACTCTTAATTTGGTAATTATTAAAATATTATGCTTTTTAGAAGTTGTATATTCTATAAAATTAAAATTAAAATTAGCAAATATTTATTACTATTAAAATACTTGTTTTTATTCATTTATATATATATAATATATAATTACCTTGCAGTTGTTTGCCTTTATTTTTATCTTTATTTTCTTCTGTTTTGTCTACTTCTATCTCAACATCTTCTTCTACTTCATCATCTTCTCCTTCTTTCAACTCATCATCATCTATTTCATTTCTTTCTTTATCTTCTTCTATCTCAATTCCTTCTTCATCTTCTTCCATCTCATTTTCTTCTTCATTTTCTAGCTCATTACTTTCATTATCTTCTTCCATCTTATCATATTCTTCTTCTTTATTTTTTTCTTTATCACCTTCTATTTCATCATTTGTTCCTTCTCAATCTTCTTTTTTATTTTCTCCTATAATAGTCACTTTTTCTACTTTACCTCTTTCTTTATCTTCTATTACTATATTCTTTTCACTTTCTAATTCATTTCTTTCTTCAATTTCTATAACATTTTCTTTTTCTTTCCCAGTCACACCTCTATTTTTTCCTACTACATCCTCTACTATTTTCTTTTTTTCTTTATTTTTTTGTTCTTCACTGTTCTTTTCTTTTTCTTGTTCTAAATATATATTTTTTTTAAATTAATAAAGGATGAATTTGTTTTTATTTAATATAATTAATTGGCAAATCACGAGTCATCTGAACAGATATTTTTTTTTATATATAAATTTTACTATAAGT